CCCCAAAACCCCAAAACCCCAAAACCCCAAAACCCCAAAACCCCAAAAGAAGATTATCACTTTGATAAGTAGTTCTAACAAATAATGAGCGAGAATAATTTCAAAATATTAAATTGATTTGATTTTATTGTTAAACTTTAAATATGAATAAAACTCACTTCTATTCATCACTTGATACATCTCTATAGCTATCGCAGACTCAAGATAGGAGTCAGATTATCTAGAATTTGGATTAGATTTTTGACACGGAGGACAACGAGCAGCATCTGACCTCCACAGCTGGAGCAGGGGATGCCAAAATCTCAAATGAAATTCCACTTGAGATCTATTAGGAGAACATTTAGAAGAGGATAAGTGAGATTTAGCAGAAGAGAGATGAAATCAGAAAGCAATATGACAAGAGCAGCAGGAACAATTCCAGAACTAATGAGAAGAGCAGCAGCAACCTCATACTTTCCAAGCAATCAAGTCCAAAGATAATACTAAGGAGTGTGATAAACAATGATGAGTTCAGCAGCAATGACAAGACTAATTACCTGCGCACTTATGAATATGAAGTCAAGAAACTTAGAAATGACTCGGCTGACAGTCACAGTCAAGAGCATTGCAGCTCACTCTATAAGAACACTATGAGTCAGCCCACTAGCTGCTATCTGAATCAGAACACAAATGGAACTATCTGCCACTAGAACTCTCAGAGCACGAACACATTCAGCAACAACAACTTCTATCATCAGCCTATCAATCAGTCCTTCCACATTAATATCTCCAGAAACTATTCAAAGCTCAATATGGATGAGCAGTCAAGCAATATCAACCATGCGATTAATGGACAAAAGGAATACGAGTATCCCTAGAGCAGAGAGAGTCTCAGTAATAGCATAATATCACCAAGGGTTTTATCAACAAGGCATGTTAAAAGCAAGTCAATCAATCATACTTCAAACAAACATATATTGGTAAACTAGGAACATCTGAGAAGTAAAATCTATATGAACTAGACTAATTAACAACCATAGCTGAGGCAAAAAACCTAAATTTTTTCAAGTGCAAACACTCAAAGCAATAACAACAATAATAACTCTTCTCAAGACTTAAAGAAATTCAACAGTAATGTGAAGTCACCAACTGGGAACAGCACTTAGCTTGAAAGCCAGATTCTTAAGTTGAAAGCTGAGCTAAAGAAGAAGGATGAGTAGCTGCTCAAAAAAGAAGAGATAATTGGTGTACTTAATAAGTTACTAGATCATCTGAATATCTAGCTGAACTAGAAGAATAAGATTGTTTAGTAAACTGAAAAGGATATTGCAGGCTTTAAAGTCAAAGAGTAAAAGTTCCTTGAAGTTATCTCAATGTGTAAGGGACAGTTAAACGATTTTGACATGATAATATCCAAATCAAAGCAAATGATAGATAAGTAAAAGTAAGAAATTGAGCATCTAAGATAGATTAAGTGCAGTGGAGGGTCTGCAAACAGCTCTGCATTCATTAACGCGTCTCCGAACTATAGTTAATATATCAGGACTATTGACCCTAACAATGAATACTTAATACAGTTTCAAGAAAGATAAAACAATCTATAAAATCTTATTTCTGAATCAGAAAAGGTCATGATTGATAAGTCTAAAATCAATCAATCTCAAGGGAATATATACGTAGAGTAAATAAGACAGATTAATTCTAGATAGAATAACAATCAAATCAAGTAGTAGTCATCTGGTAGCAATGCCTTGAACCAGAGTAAAGCTCTGAGTATTGTTACTAGAGCAACTGATCTTAGTTATGATAACGTAAGTACGCTGAATGAATCTTTGAGGAGTCTTTAAAATCAAGAGAACTTTAATCATACCAATAACTACATATATGGAATGCCCAGTTAGAGTAACATAAATCCTTATCAAAATACTGTGAATAGTACTAAAAGCTCTTCGAGTAATCTAAACATTAGCCAAAGTCTATATAATGCAATGAGAAATAGTTTAGGCAGTAACCAAAACATCTTAAATCAAAGTTACTAGAATGGGGTTTAAAGCACGAATTAAAACACTAAGACTGGTTGTAATGCACCACCGCCCTCTCATAGTAGACCTAATAGCTATAGTGCTCAGCATACAAATAAATTATTCAATAGAACATTGCATCATTCAAAGAATATATCTATCCTTCCACCCACAATTTTAACCAATAACAGCAAGAGGAGCAATCAGAATTTGTGAAGAGAAGAATTCCAATTAGTTTCATAGGAAATATTAAAATCTAGTGAAGACCTATAATTAAAATTAATAATATGATTTTATAAATTTAAATCTCTCTAAACTAGAAATCACGGGGTTTTGGGGTTTTGGGG